CAATCCGTTCGACGTCTTCCCCCATGAATTATGGATGAACCCCGCAACCTCTGAATGTGGTGGGGATTTACGTTGATCGAGCATCCCTTCGCTTTAAAACTCCTCCTGATCGTGTCACCGGCTCAGTGTGGATTTGAAAGGGCTCGGAAAGAAATCAAGGTAATTTGCAAAGCGTCCTGTTAGCATGCCTTTATTCCCCTGTTGGCAGACTAATGACTGGCTGTTTGTGTGCTGAAACCCATTAGCTGTGTTCACTCTGGCATCGAGTCCCTTATGACAACAATTAGTAAGCATCAGTCCACTTCAGCAGCCAGTGCTCTGCTGGTACAGTCGGGGTCAGGTAAATAAAAGCCATTGATTTGTGGAAAGATGTTTTCATGAATAATCTAGTCGAGTGCAAATACAAAACATTTCGAGAACGGAGAACAGAATTATAAAGGATGTGAAAACAAAAAATTGTATGGTTTTATCCTTTTAACATCCGATGATAATTCCCATTACCAGACCTCAGCTATTATTTATCTGTTTTATTGATAATTTTAGCCACACTGCAACACATGGCTCAAGGGACAGCAATGTCAATCTGTTGGGTCCACGACTCAAATATCTCAACGTCAAAAGGATGGATCGAGATTAACTTGTACAGATATTTGTGTACAAAGGATGAGGCCAAATTACAAATAATATAAAATATCTGTAGATCTACTGGATGGATTGGCACAACATTTGGTACAGGAATTCATGGTTCCTAGAGGATGTATTCTAATGTCTTTGGCGACCCCCGTGACTTTTCCTCTAGGCTCATGATGAGGTTCACATTTCTGGGATTGAGTAGAACGTCTTCATTTGACTATCTGATGGATTTCCATGAAATTTTACAGTAAAATTCATGAATTTTAATAACTTTTCAACTACGAAAACTCACGTAAAATGAGAATAAGTACATGTTGTAGCATAGCTAGATATCGCATTGTGGAATGACAAAGAGAAAATGACTTGGGCTTACCTCCAAGACTGTTAAATTGCTTCAGGTACCGTATAGGTAACTAGTGCCTTACTTCTTATATTACTGGTGTTTAATTAAGTAATGTTTAAGGCAAATAAACTTAAAGAAAAAAAATCAGACCTCATTGACGCAACACTCTGTTGCCACTGTGCACGTGTTCAATCACACACAACTGCAAACAAAAGAGAGAAAAAGACACGAGCAGCGAAACCAATTACTGAGTTTAATGGACACAATCGTAATAAACAGCAGCATCCACTTCTTTTAAACTCACTGCATCAGCAGCATAAAATGTGCGCTCATGTGCCGAGGGGCAGTGATCTCAATAGCTCACCTGTGATGATTGCACCTCAGTACTGAAATTACTTCACTTTTGTCCAAAGATTCAGTCGGTCCTGTTTCGAGGAAAGTATGGAAGGAGTTCAGCCTGCGTGTCATCGCTGATGATCTGATGCCAGGTTTTATGCCATCGTCAGCAGAGAAGAGTGATATCACTGAGCGGTTTGTCATGAAGGATGAGCAGGGACTGTAGGACACAATCCATCTTGGGAAATGTGTCGCTGGAGCTGAACTCTATGTTCTGTACTTCAAGTGATGGAAAGTCCACCGCCGGTGAAAAGTGGGAGCTGACAGGTTGTTCAAAGGATAGGTTCACATTGTTTCAAGTTGATCTTAAAGCAACACTCACGTGGCCGTACAGTATGTATAATGCAACAGTTTTTTTCTTTTCTTTTTTTATGGCCACAAAATAATCCCTTTCAATTGCACTTCCAGTGTATGAGATGAGAGCTAAAATATGCTGTCCTTGTTCTGTGCAAAACTGCATTATACATTTCAGCTGAAGGGTATATATAAATATATATAAGTCAAGTGGAAACCTTCCAAAGTCGAAATGTCTTTCACATGTTTCTTTGCTGAGGGGGAGTGGAGGGGAGAAGGTATCTTTGGCTCTGTTCAAACTGCAGGCTAAATATCCTTGTTTTTTTGTTTTTATTTTTGAATTTTTTACAATACACTGACACGAGACATAAAACTCCCAGTCTCATTACCCAAAAGAACAGAAAGATCGACAGGGCATCCATTTCAAGAACAAATGAGAAGCTGCCAGAGGACAACAATTTTGGTAAAGCAGTAGACTGACCCTTCTAAGTAAAAGACAAAACAACAACACACTTGAAATCCGATTTGGGAGCCCAGGTCGTCCAGACTGAGACACTTCATTTTGTCTTGTTTTTTTTACCTTACAGATTTTATAAAAATCAATCTGTATGCTAAAGAACAGATTTGGGCTGGCAGTCCGAACAAGGTCTTCGAGAATAACGGCTGAAATTGAACTTCTTCTATTCCTCACAGCATCTTTGTGTTGCAAAGGCCTTTGTTTAGCTGTTAAATGAACTTGAGGCTTACTAAAACCAGCAGGCTAGATTGGCTCTGAGTCCAGGCTTTGAGTATATGTCGAAATATGAATGTGTGTTTCAGAATTTGTGCTGGGGCTTCTCTGCCCGCACGGTCTCTGGCTGTGTGATTTAAGAACAGGTTTTCTCCTGTTCATTTATTTTGTGTCAGACGCACTCCTGTCTCGACTCGCATTGATTTTTGCCAAGCACTTTTTAAAAATCCATAACACTGCAGATTGCGTGAAGACACATTCAAGCCGTGGCGGTGCGGTGCCAGCAGGCTGCAGGTGTAACACTGACGCAACAAACACGGAAGAAATGAAAATCACCAGGCACAGATCAGGGCATCACAGTGAAAAAGACCTTTTTTCACTCACTTGTAATTCTGTCCTGTTTTTCTTCAGCAAACCAAAATTACAAATCTCATTTGTTTCCAGTGTGTCCACAGAAAGCGGAAATATTAATGACAAATGAGGTGTCATTTTTTTTTTTAAATGCACTTGCAGGTTTGTGATAAAAGTTAATCAGAAAGTTCACTGATCATGTTGACTATTACTTGCTTCATTACCAGGGAATGTGTTTCTTCCTGTTCTATTCTCCTTTCACTTCAATTGCATTGAAACTGTTGTCTTTTCCGGGCTCATCTCCTCCACATGTTGCAAGTGGATCTAATCCAGGGTCCCCGTTCAATCAAGTTGCTCAGGGGGCGCATTGTGCAAAAAAAGTTCAACTTCAGAGTGTAAAATGTAGATCAAATCACCCAGATCTTCTGCATCCATGCGGCCAATAGAGCAAGACTTGTGAAACTTGAGTTTCCTTTAACCCCGCCTCCCAGCCCTCGGCTTTAGGCTCATTCACATGACCGGACAAAAGGAAAATAACTCTGGATTCATCTATAAATGCATTTTTACAACTTTTAAGGAAATTATTTAAATGAGTGTTTTGTACTGGGAAGTTGATTCACCTATACAAATATGTCTTTCCCACTGTAAGACCCAACGGCATCACACGACCGACCCAGATGTTGGTATGCTTACTATGTCACATTTGCTTCACAGCCCAAAGCTCTTCCTGGGGGCCAGACATGGACCGACCATGCTTATGGTTGTTGAGCCATCAAAGCAATAGAACAACTGGAAGTTGATGAATGGTGTGTGTGTGTGTGTGTGTGTGTGTGTGTGTGTGTAAATTATAACTGAAGCCACTGTTTTGTTATTTTAAAATCTTTCAAATCATAATTTTAAAAGAAACAATTCATCGATCGTCATTAAAACCAAAATATTCCCACACCAAGAAACCGCAGGCTTACAGCCAGTTCACAACGAGTCGGCTTTGTTCTGTGCTTATAAAATAGACACGGTGGCTGCTTGGATTTCAATTCATCGACTCAGTTGAGCTTCACCTCCGCAGGAGAAACATGACGGAGCAGATGGTTGTTGTTTTGGACCTCACTGGATCAGTAAATACTTTTCTCAGTGAGCTGTACAACAGCTTTGTTTTGATGACAATTCCAACACGTCTTGATTGCACTGAGATTCTATGTTGGACGTGTTGGAGGGATGTATTTTAGCAGTGCTCGATCACTTGGAAAATTGGCTTTTGTCCACTGACATTTCATGCATGTTAATATTTACCGAAATATAGCAAGGTTATGTTGTTTTATTTTGGTTTATTGAAACATTCAGGTGGTGTTGAGTGGTTTGTGAGCAGCATGTTCAGTATTGCAAAATCCAAAGGCTTTATGTGCGTCACAAATCAACCAGGTGTGGTGACAAAAGCAACAATCCCTCTGCAATGTTCAACAGATTTTTGTACAGTTCAGAAATATGGCATCACCACATGCAGGAGTCACCACGGTTATTCCCCGCTGAGCAGCAAACACAACACAGTCAGCATCTGCCTTTGTGCGTTCACAAACGCTGCTAAAATGTTAAAGAGCCCTCGTGCAATCGACTGCACAAACAGATTCTTAAAGAATTCAGGCAGAAGATTTTAAAGACGGCAGGAGGTTAAAGAGAAGAACATGGAGGCGACACTTTATCAGGCATGAATGAAAGTCATTTTACAAATCTGTTCACTGGTCATAATAAGTCATGTATTGAAGCATCTGCCTTTTGCTATTTTGACGCACCCATTCATTTGGATTTTCTATCATTTTTCACCCATGTGACAAATGTGGCAGGAAACTGGCCTTTACTTTTTCTTTGTTTTGCTCCTCAAGTTGCACCTCCATGCACACACAGATGCCACCTGTTTGGCCACCCAATGCTGCTGATGTGATTTGTATGGCATGAGAAAGTGACACTGATGCATACTCATTGTTATGTATTCATTGAACACAGCCATTAATGTTTGGGGGGGAAAAAATGTTTTTTGTTTGTGATAACCTCAGTGTATTTATAATATATTCAGACAAGACAAGTCAAAATCAAGTGGTTTTAATATATCACGCTTAAATACAGTTATTTGCCATGTTCCAGTCTGAATTTACCGGTTATAGCCTACAGGTGTTTATGCCCCCTAGAAAACAGCGTTCGTCTTATTTCCGAGGTGCATTTGAAGGCGACACAAGTCGTCAGCTGGTCATCGAACTTTATGGTTTAGATTCACGTTCCTCTGGCTGTCGATTCACTCTACTATGATCGCACATGACTTGAGGAACTCAACAGAGTTTACGAGACGTGTCACTCCTTTAAGAAACTAAACCGCCGCCTCTTCTCCCACGCTCTCGCCGAAGATCGCAGACGGTTCGCTCCCTCTAGCGGCGGAGCTCGCCGCCGCTAGAGCGTCACAGCGCCGGTGTCCGTCCCCCCCCACAGTCACGGTTAAAGTTGTCTCTCCGCTCAAGGGAAAAAAAGAAGACGCGTGGAAGCATTCAGGGGGGTACTCGCTTGTTTTCCCACCGCCGCTGCTTCTTCACTCGCGCTTTCTTTCTCCCGGAGAGAGATGAGGCGGAAGGAGAAGAGGCTGCTGCAGTTCGCCGGGCTGCTCATAGCGGCTCTAATTTTCCTCCCCAACGTCGGGCTGTGGTCTCTGTACAAAGACCGAGTGTTCGACAACTCGCCCGACGCGGTGGACGGCCCGGGCGGCATCCCCCCGATACAGGTAGGGAAGAGCTCGGCCGTGGGTGGCCCCCGGCGTGGCGGCGGTGTCTTCTCATGGCTACGCGCTGTGTTTTTGGTCGGTTTGAGCCAGAAAACGAAATCGTTCAAGTGAGTTTTGGCCGCAGCGGTGCTTCTGTGCTCGCCTCAACGATTCACCACCAACCTTTACATTCCCATACTGTGTGTGTGTGCGCGCGCGCTGTGATTTACAAATTGGACCGTCTTTTTTAGTAACTGTGCAAGCATGGCAGGTCATTAGTTGCAGGGAGCCACGTAGCTAACACGGAGCTGGGCGTCGCAGTAAAGTTACAATATCACCGATGTCAGGAAGTTGTCTACGAACGTGAAGCAGGCGGTGGTGCGTTCAAAGGTCGACAGGCGTCTTGTTATGGTTGTGTATTCACTTTGTCACTGGCTCATATTTGGTAGCATTGTGCCCCCCATGTAATCATCTTTTTGACATATATGACTAATGATTGCTTACATTGTCAATTCATCTGTTTTGTAACCTTTTTTAAGAGTTATTGAGTTTATAATGCCCATCTTAAGTTCCCAGAAGGCTGAAGTTGACGTCTTCAAATTGCTTGTTTTGCTTTGTTAAACCAAAACTCAACAATATTCAAATTACAGTGATTTAAAACACGACCAAATCCTCATATTTGAGATTCCAGAATCGGCAAACTATGACAATTATCTTTTTATTTTTGGATACTGTGATTAACTAATTGATTCTTTCATCGTGTTTCAATGACAAGTTATTGCAAAACAAGTCCAGGTGACACCAAAGTAAGAAAACATGTTTAAACCCCACATAGTGAGCTCCTGTAAGCCGCTGACTTACTCACAAATACACAGACGTCCAGTTGTTTAGCGACACTTGAAGACAAATCAAACATCCTCAAACACTCTAGTCATAAACAAAAACTACTGCACCACAAATGATCATGACTCAAGTGAAGGCCGACGCGTTTCATCTCATTGCTCATCTTGTAGGACGCTCCTACTTCTTCAACTAAGTTTTAGTTGAAGTTTTTCAGGTTCATTGATCTATATAAATGTTGTTTTCTGTTTACTATATATTCATATCTAATGTTGTATTGGTATTTTCCACTCCTGTTGCTTCGGTTGAGGTGATTTAAGTTGCACTTTTTAAAAGAGGTTTGAAATCAATTTGTCTGAACAGGAGACAGAATATTAAGTCTGAAAGGATTTTGGAATGACTTCGTATGCTTTGGGTTTTTAAAGGTTCAGCTTCCTCTCTCATTTTTGTTGAGGAAAACGTATGCTGTGGCTTGAAGTGAATCATCAAAGCCAAAAGTAAAAGAAGAAAAAGATGAATTAATGGCACAAGCTGGAGCTGGGTCAGCTCTTTTCACTTAGAGCCACTTAAAAATTCAAAAACTTCACCAAACCGGACCCTATTTAGCAGACAATAGCAGCTCCTCTCATTCAAATGAGGCGAATCCGCTGAAAGGAGGCTTTCAGTGGCTGTGTGTGTGTGTGCATGTGAGCTGTGCATGGTGGTCGGTGTTTGTCCAAATTCAGCAAACATGCACGACTGGAAGGATTGTAGAGATTTAGTGAGGACCGAGTGAAGGCATTCAAGCAGAACAACGTATCAAATAGCTCTGTAAACGGGTATTGTCGCCTCTAAATGTTGACAAAAGCTCGTTATCAGCAGCTGAAGGTAATTTCCAGGCCGAATGGTGGGAATGATAACGCCGTGGTATTCGGCACGGATCGCCTTTCTCAGCTCAAGTTTGATATTTGATGTCTTAAAATGAAAAGTGCTGAATGGGATAAAAAGGACACCTACGTTGCATATCAGCTGTGACCTCCAGAGCAGTTTGGTGAGAGACACAACTTTGTCCAATAGCCATCATCATCATCCTTTTCTATTTATTTCTTTACTTTCTTAACCCTGCATTCATTCTAATGGCCGTGCACACAGAAGTCTTGTTGTATAGAAGTCTGTGAGAAAATTACTCTACTTCTCTCTTGATTTATGACCTCAGTAAACATTGTAAACATGAGTTTATGGTCTCAATCTCTAGTTTCAAGTCTTCTTCAATACAGCATGATGTTCATTTAGTAAATGATGGTCCATTTAGATTCAGATAGACCAGGGATTCCCAAAGTGTGGTGCGCGCACCGCCTCTAGGGGGTGCGGGAGAGGAAAAATATAATGGTGGTCAATGGTGTAATAATTAATATTAAATATAATTTTCACAAAATAAAAACATTAATTATAAAAATTCCCTTTGTAAGATTTAAATTTAAAATTAACGTACAATTTTTAATAAATAAATGCACTTCAGCTCCTGCCGCCAGACTGTCTTTTAGTACACTAGCTAGCCTAGCTTGTGCAGCTAACAGCTAACTTCATTCATTCAGCAACATTCATGCAAATATGCTAAACTGTCAGGTGGGACATTTGAAGCCATCAGTCATAAAAGAGGAGAGGGACAGAGAGAGAGTGAGGAATCGGAGGCGAGAGGAACGGAGAGGTGCGTTGGGGAGAGACCGGGAGAAGAAATCGAGCCGGAGGAGACCGAAAAGGAGGAAGGGATAGCACAGACAAATCGGGAGCACATAGGGCTAAACCTTAGTTGTTTCCTGTGAAGATGGAAGTTTATTTTGAAAAGACAGCATGCATGTAACAAGCGAAAACAGACTCATGTTGCTGGAGTTTTGCAGGAAAAACGCACGAAAAGTGAGGAGTAATATTTCGTAAGATATCAATAAAACGGGGATGAATTTATATCATTGTATAAAGAGAGTGACATGAGAAGATCAATCTCATGTCTGTAAGTTAAATCAGCTATAATCACTATTTTAAAGTGATTAGTGACTCGTCTAAAACATTTAAAAAAGGAATAACTTCAATAGAATCATTCTATACACTGTAGCTTCTTTACATTCTATTAGAATGTAAAGAAGCTACATTGTTGCCTTTTCTTTTCTTTCCACAAGAACGTAATTTTGTCAGGTTGATTAAAAAAATGTAACTACTTCCAGACATTAGTTATTTTACCGCAGGGGGGTGTCCAAACTTTTTTCACCTTGACTCCGCGATGGGCCTATGTCATGTACATGCAGTGGTAGGGCGTTTTCACACCCGTAGTTCGTTTGCTTTGTTCTGATTCAGGGATTAATATGACACAATGTTGCAGTTGCCCCTTTGTTCGGTTTGTGTTCACACTGCAACATTTAACAGCGGACTAAATATTGTAAACAAACGCCACGCGCGAGCAAACTGTTCTCTCATTGGATCGATTTCTATGCGGCTATAAATCTTTTTTTTTTAAGGTGTGGGGGATTGGGGGTGCGTGAACCCGGTCGGGATGTAGAAGGGGGTGCGTGGCCTAAAAAGTTTGGGAACCGCTGAGATAGACCATAAAGCAGGGTATGTTTTAGGGCGGGGCTACCTTGTGATTGACAGGTCGCTACCAGAGCCGTATAAGGTGTCTCTCTCGTACGTTCATGACTTGTCACCAGGGCTTTCCCTTTTTCCCCAACTTGCTTTAACAAACGTCCGTCCTCAGATGTAGATATGCAGCTAGAATGCCGACCTAAGCACAACATCAGAGCTCTGAGGGGTCGACCCTCTCGGCTCGTGTAAGCTGTAATCATGTGCCCCTCCATGAGTATTTCCTGCCGCTCTAGCAGACAGCCTCAGAGCCTCCCCGCCGTCACAGTGACAGAGAGGTAATCTGCACATTCTCCGTGTCTTAATAAGGACGCCTGTTGAAGCGAGAGGTGGCTCGGCTTCCTCCCGTCTGCTCCGGCAGCTCAGGTTAAGTGGAGGTTAGAGAGGACGAGAGCAGCGGGTAGAATAAAAACAGGTCGCACAGTCTGACCAGCTGCTTGCTGTGCTGCCCAGCTAACCGACTCAAACATGGCGTCACTACACATCATCCACCATGATGGAGAGGTCGGATGTTTAGACTGCGTAGAAGTCAACAGTAGGGCTGCAGGATTATGGGAAAAAATCTTAACCACGATCACTTTGGTCAATATTGACATCACAATGATTTAACATGATTACTCATCGACTTTTGAGCTCAACCTGGTCTGAACTGTTCAAGGCGGGTTGGTCCCACTCGAGAGAGCCACGCAGAAAACATAGATTGGACAACGTATGTCTGCACATATTTCTGCGTCAGCATCCATTTCTGTGGAAACTTGTTGGTGGATGTTCATGGCTAACTGGATGCAATCAGCTCAGATAAAAGTCCAGGAGATAAAGCGTGCTCTGGAAAGGAAAGTTGGCTGAGATTCACGGCCCTGTCACGGAGAAATGAGAATCGGACGGGCTTCTGTACACTGGAGGCTGCAGTTATGAGCCACACACTGTGGGCTGGATTACTGTTCATTCATCACGGCAGGACCGTGTGCCTTTTCCCCTCTGACACACGTACGTACAGTACACTCCCTGACTCACACACACACACACACACTTCTATAGCCTATGCTGCTGTTGGAGCCAGTAGAAGGTCGGTCAGCAACAGTCTGGTTTTATTAATGAGCAGAGCTCAAAGAAAACAAGGACATCTATGTAGCACATCTGAGGACAAGGTGAAAAGTGAGACCATCTTCTTATTTCGGCCTCAGAAGACACAGATTGTTGAACCGCAGCTTGATAGGCAAATTATGACCCTTTTTTTGTTTTTCATAAACACCCCCAGTGCTTCAGTGTGATTTAGAATTCCCAGGCCGTCTGCTGGTGATGTATTCCTACCCCACAGTCACAATGCAAATCAGATATTTGTTTGACCCTCTGTCCTCCGGGGCTCCCACAGGCCTGGAAAAACAAAAACATTGAAAGCCTGACATTTGTCCTTTTGAGGAAAAATAAACACAGCCTTGATGCTTTATTCATTAACTTTTTTCTATCTATTTCAAAACCTTTCGGAACAACACATGTTGGCTTTGATTAGGCTGCTAGCGTGCTCAGACACGATTGGACCCCAATGAGATCGTTTCATGGAATAATTTACC